TTTCTATTCGACTCCACCACACCCCACTTTCCCCACATAGTCAAACCGTGACTTACTACCATAACGTACTTTCCTTCACTGTGCTGCAAAACCATCTCCCACCTGAACTTTCAGTTTAGAAACTTTCAAAAGATCATAACAATGCTAGCCAAATCGCTGAGGTATTATCAATATTATTGCTTTCAAGTACACCTGTGTGGGTACGACAAAGCTGAGGAAATCGAGTGTCAACTTATATATCCCATATTAGAATCAAAAAGAAGTCAACTATAAAGCGTGCGTACCATAGCTGTATCTCATTATGTCTTTCATGTCTGGCACCTCTTCATAAAGTTCCCACGCGTAAGCGGATGATTTCCATGGGGGATTGCCCTGTTTGCAAAAAGATAATGTAGACCTTATCTTTGCATGACCAGAGGAAAGCAGTGCTGACCACGTGACTCTGTTCTGCTAAATCTGAACCCTCTTGGGCGTTCAATGGCGGAGCAGAATTCACCACAAACGTTGCATCCAAATTTTCCTGCACATCATTCTCCTTGTGGCGAGACTCTGCCACTTTCACACATCATTCTCCTTGTGGCGAGACTCTGCCACTTTCAGGCTCTGAAACAGCTCTGGCAACATACTTGGCACCTGCTAATTCGAAACTAGACAAGCTCTTTCTGTGTAGCTTGCACACCATCAACCCATATCGTGTCGAAGCTCAGTATACCTGCTTCATACGATAAATTTACTTTGATGATTCCCCTACCTTCTGAGAGCTCAAAGCATCTTACGTTGCCTTTAGGGAAAAACAAGAGTATGATAGGTTTCATTTGCCAACATTGTACTAACATTCAACTCTTATCAGAGTGAGCATGTGATTAGATTCGTAAGGAACCATCAGAACGATCTGGACTTGGGAGAGGTTCAGTCTACTTCACATTCGATAAATAGTTGGTTTTAAATAAAGATAACTACCTCAAAACGTTTACGATCACCTGCTGTTCATTTGTTCCGAGAGCTGCTTCAGGAATGGCGACTTCATCTCTTGAAATTCCCGCTGATTTTCGATTATCCCTCACATAATATTGGACCCGGTAGCTTGGTAGTACATTCATGTAGCACGACTCGATAGGCACTGCAACATGTAAGATGAGCGTAGTGTATGAATCCGTCATCATCAAGATATCCTCACGTTTACAAATGAAGCGATCATGATGCTTTGAAACATGAACATTAAACAAGTCATTTGCCTGCACTGGATTATCGAAGACAGTCTAGAACGATTTCCTGAAGGCTCTGCTTAACGTCAAACATTTACGAAAGTACACTGACCTGGTCTTGTTTGTTAGGAGAACCGGGTTCAATGATTCCAGGGCTAGCTTTATCTGCACTGTTTGTCCATAGTTTTTCCACATTCATACAGTATACGCTCCTGATAAACGGACCTTCGCTCATGGTATTATGAGAGCAAGACGAATGATCCTCACCAGTGCCTCGATAGGTATTTATACTGCTGATCAGATGTTGTTCAAAAAATAGCCTGATGTAGGTTCAAGCCTTTCTCAAGAAGTTCGCTTATCGGTTGCATCGTTAAGTGTTAATTCGTGTAGTTCGTGACTTGCATTCATTAGATTACAGGTCTAATTCTGCAAGAAAAACATAGCAGGTGAGAGAGGTAAGAAGGTGGTCACTGCTGAGAACTCTGAAAAATGAAAGCGAGGATGACCGAGATTGATTCGGGCACGTAGTACCACGGCCACGATAAGCGTTATACAGGGTGCGGCAAAAGTTCTGGCAATGGTAAATATGATCGTAAAAACGGTCGAATCGATCGATACATGATACTACCCCAACAGCGCGAATACAGGCTGAAATTCTCCTAGGAGATGCGTCGACGGCGGCACGGAGGTAGTCTTCGTCCGAATCCTTCCATGCTTCAACGGGGGTTGCACGTGGAGCATCCAAACCTCTATGTTTAGTAGAGCAGGCTTTCATCTTGAGAACTGACCACACGGAATGGTCTAATGGATTTGAACCTGGACTGTTTGGGGCCAATCGTTCGACGAGATGAGGTCTGGGAAGTGCGTTCCGCACCAGTCCTGTACCACTTTGGACTTGTGTGCTGGAGTTGAGCCCTGCTGATGAGTCCATGTCCTATTGGCGAAAGGGATTTTGC